GGCCAGATCAAAGTCTTTTCATAATATTAAGATATTCTTTGCTTTTTACTGGGCTGACATAGGACCCATAATGCAAAAGAGTGATGGGTAAAACTGCTGGTAACTTAGCAGGGACTGAGGCAATGACACCGACCTGTAGCATCAGTTACCACATTTGACCCAGCCATTCACTCACAGGCTGGTGGTAGTGGTGGGGAGTCCTTCTTAAAGCTCTGAAAATAACCAATTTTATTCAATCTCTACACTTTAATTCTAATATTTTTTAATATTTAATGTAGAGAATATACATAAAACTCTTGACCACTTTCGGAAGTGGACTGTGTCAAAGTAATGCACTTGTGCAATTATTTGTGTTGCAACCCAAATGAACCAGTATTAGGAGATATTTCTGATGACTTTAGTAGCAACATATTAATATAATTTTAAAAGTGCTGTATAACTGATATCTCCAATGGCCACTGCTTAATTGTATATCATGGTGATATCAATAGTGATATTATGCATCAGTGAAAGATCTACTCAAAATGCAAGTTCAACTGATGAATTTTAATACTGCAAAGTACAGAGTGTTCAGTGATTTTGTTCCATGTTCCAAACTTGTACAACTCCTAGAAGTTCTCACTCGTTAAATTCTGGTGTAATACCAAAGAATATACCCGATTAACTGAAAAGGCTTTTAAATTATTCCTGCCTTTTCCAAATATGTATCTACATGGGTATCGATTTCTTCATACGATAGAAAACAGAGAGCCCAAATACAGAAACAAGCATGAAAAAACGGCTGTGTTATCCTAAGTCAGATGTTAATGAGATTTCCAAATGTAAAACAATGCAACTATTTTTTGTTATAGAAAACAGTTTTGTGTATCAATAGACAGCTTTTATTAGTATGTAATGAGTTGGGTTTTATTCTAAAATAAATAAATACATTTTAAGATTCTGTTTTAATTACAAATATAGAAAGTGTAGGTAGACATAGACATGCTACCAAGTCCTCTTTGCAATCCTTACTTATTTTGAAGAGTGTTACAGGTTTTCCTTTTCACAAAGTTTCAGAACTGCTTCTTTAGTGTATCCTAGTCACCTGAAGGAGTCCACAGAGGTGTTTACTCGTCACTTGGTCCCACATCATGCCCACATTCCA